TCCCGTAATTATTACAATTTCTTAGCAATCTTAGCTAAGTTCCATGCACCAACCATTTAAGGTCCTATGATCGGACTTCAATTCCCTCTACCATATAATATCCACCACTGATTCCCTTCCTCTTCTTAAATCACTAATACTAACATACCTTTCCCGTAATTAGTACAATTTCTTAGCTATATTAGCTAGCTATCTTCTTATCTATGTTTAGCTCTTTGAGATGTGTTTAGCTCTAATTTTCCACGAATTTTAGTCTAACACCTATCATTCCTGCATGCTCGTGATCAGTTCGGTAACACGCGTCATGCGGCAGCGCCCCTCGGTCGGTTGGGCGGGAAGAGGCGCTGCGTTTCTGCCTGGGTTCCGCGCGTAACAGGCTTCGGCTTGGTGTCGCATGGGCCACTTGATGGTGCAGTCATTGCATATCAACGTCCAGACAATTAAATCGCGATCTCATTAGCAACCGGTTTCATATCGTAAAAATTTTGAGTTTTACGAAAACTGGAGAACGCTTTTGACTGTCAAAACTTAACTTATGCGAGTTGCGATAACTGGACCATGGCACGATATTTGCATATATTGGATTTAGTAGAAGTAGTCACAAATGACCATGCTTCAGTGTTATCAAAACATTTATAAATTCTAATATCTCTTCCTCGTCATTGTTGGCCTCATTATTACTGCCAAAATAAAACAAAAAAATTCGTGAATTAAGGAATAGGCGACATTTGTGACCCATGCCAACTATTGATATCGATACTTTCTGTCAACGGTAGTTTACAGCTGCTTCGCACAGAGCCCATCCAGGGGGAGCGGTGGGAAATTATGACCAATGTGAAACTCCGATTCACACTGGAACCATCCACCATCCATGAAAAACCACTGATGCACACAATTGTTTGCGGCGGTAAAATAGTTTACTTTTAAAAATAAGATTAATATATGTAGGGATCTTTGGGGAGCTCCCTACAAGAGAGTATTTATCCCCTCCAGAAGCTCCGTAAAATAAGTCGTCAAATCCATTCTGTTCATGCCGAAAAGAACGCACCATGCGCCTTCCCAAAATGAAGCAACTGCAACATCCAACATCCACGACAAAAGCTCAAGGGAAATGTTGCTGAGCGGCGACTTACAAGCTCGAAAGTGTCTTAGAGTTAAGCTTGCAATGTGAAGTTAGTTTTACGAATAAACTGAAAAAAGAAGCACGCACGCATTTTTCCCTTGCGCATCCCGAGCGAGATCACCCCCATCCCATCTACAAAAAGGCGGAATTTTACAAAATTACTGGCAGGAACTCCTACCACGAACATTGGTCCTTCGAGCCAGATACCTACATTGGATTTTTCCACAAGAAAGTCAAGGATAGCCATCCCCCCAATCCGCTCGCCACAGCTTGCTCCAGAGAATCTGCCAGCTAAGTACTAAAATTCCAATTAATCATTGGTAAAAGTTCTGTGTGTGCCTGTGTATGGTGTGTGGAGGATTTCCATAGAAAGAAAAGTACATGTGAAAACAACAAAAAAGAGAAAGGGGCGAAGAAGACAAGAAGGACTGCCATTTTTTTTCCATATATGTACATATATAGATCAACTCTCCAAGTTTTCTTCGCCAAAAATCTGCAAAAATAGACAAAAAATACTTTTTGGAAGGTTGCGGGCCCAAATGCCAATTGGAAACAAAGCAAACGAAAAGGGGTTGAATTTTTGGTAAAAAGTATTTTATGTCTATTTTTTCACTTTTGAGGTTTGGTTGGAACAATACCTTTAACGACGAAAAAATTTCGAACAAAAAAAATATCGCGCAAAAAATGATGAAATTTGAAAGCGTTACAAATTTTTAAACCCCGAAATCTATAAGAATCTATATTTTTGGCCACAGCCTAATTCTAGTGTTGACTAGTGTTATTTATCAGTTCTTATTTTCCGAAACCGATTTGAGTTTCTTTTGAGTTTCGTTTGCAGGTTACGTAAATGTGTGTGTATTCACACATACTATGCTTGTGTGTGGGCTCTACAATTTTTTGCCGCTTGAACTGAATTTAGGTTTTTCGTTTTGTTTTGATGGGCGGTTGTAGCGATGGGCGCGCGGAGTATTTCTTCCATTCTCTTTCAGGCTAGCCTTTGCCTCTGTAAATGCCTCGGCCCGCGTCGAATCGAGCGACAGAATACGCCAACAAAATATGAAGTCTGACGACGGGAATAGGTCCAGGGCCACATTAGCTGTTGCCGAGGGCCTAGGGTTGCCTAGAGTTGCCTAGGGCTAACAGAAAAATTTGTTGAAAAAAAAAAACTCCAAATAATGGATACAAAATATAATAGCCACTGATAAACATACAAATTAATTAAACAAACATTAAATTTATAAGTTTTTATTTCAAATGAAAAAAGGGAACTGGCGTGAAAAAATGGAGGGCCCTAGATTGATGGTTGCCCAGGGCCCGGTTGTAGGTTGATCCGGCCCTGAATAGGGCGATTTTGGTTTTAAACTTTAAAATTTAAAGTTATTTGTTTGTATTTACAGTGGGGCCGAAAAGAGGTGGCAAAATTAAAAAATATTTTATGAACGCTTTGAATAAAATAAATGTACACATCTTGGAGAACATTTTCCAGTGCTTTAGCGAATCTAATTTTCAAGATAATTTTAGTATAGGAGATATGAGAAGAGATAACTGTTGTTAATAAATACGCAGCTCGTTGTTAGGTTTAAAGTAATACTACATGTTTATTGTGAATATTTTTAATGCGTGTTGAGTCCGTGAGATGATAATATAGGGATGCGTAAGAACTATCGATACATATAATTTGATACATTTCAACACTTCCCCTCAAATTTGATGTTAAACAATTTATCCTTTACTTTAAATCATACCCAAACCCAAAATGCATTCATTATGTTTGGTCGTTAATAAACCTTTGGTCAACACATCTGCTCGCATCTTCTCGGTTGGAATGTACTTGATGATGATTTCTTTCTTCTCGACTATCTCACGAATGAAATGATGACGAATGTCCACGTGCTTAGTCCGGCTGTGGAATACTGGATTCCTGGTTAGCTCGCCAGCGCCTTGGTTGTCGTTGAATATTTCAACAACGCCATCAGAGCCTAAAACTTCTTTCAGGAACAGTTTCAGGTGGATTGCTTCCTTTGATGCATCAGATATCGCCAAGTATTCAGCCTCGGTGGTAGAGAGTGCCACTATGCGTTGTTTTCGTGACTCCCAACTGACTGCTGCATTAGAAAGTATAAATGCATAGCCTGTCACCTAGTGGAGCCCCAGTCCGAGTCAGTGTAACCGTAAAGGTTCTTGCCGGTTTTCTTGAATACCAACCCACTGTCGTTGCTTGCCTTTAGATAGAGAAGGACTCTCTTGGCCGCCATCCAGTGCTGCTGAGAAAAATTTGAATTAAATTGACTCAATAAACTTACTGCATGAGCTAAATCTGGCAAACTGCCAGATACATCAGAGAACCTATGAGATTCTGGTATGCTACATTTTCCCTTCTGAATGTTTCTTCTTCTTTAGTCTCCTTCGTCAGTTTCTGGTTCGATGCTAAAGGGGTTGTGACAGTGTTGGAGTTTTCCATACCGAAACGTTGGATGACTTCATTTTCATATTTGCGTGGATTCATCTTGATCTCCTTTTTCTCAAAGTCCTGTTCAAAGTCTATACCAAGGCAGTAGTCCCAAATCTTTCATATCAAAAATGTTGGCTAGCGCCGAGTGCCCTTGGATCATTGGATGCAATCATTAAGTCGTCAACGTAGATTAACACAACTACTAATATATCATTTTGATTTATGGTGTATACACAAGGATCTGCGCTGAGTGGTTGCATGCCTAATGCTTTAAGCTTTTCATCTAGTTTCCGGTACCATTGCCTTCCGGACTGCTTGAGGCCATATAACGCCTTTTGTATTTTGCATACTTTTTGCGACGTGTATTTACTGCGTTCGTTCTTGTCCAAAATTATTTCAAATTCTTTCGGAATCTCTATGTGGACATCTTCGTTTATTTCGCGGTTTAAATATGCGCTTGTAAAGTCTAATTGTTGTATCTGCATACCAAGTTCGATAGATAAGGCCATGAGCAAACGGATGGAGCTCATGCGTGCCACAGGTGCGAAAGTTTCATTATAGCTCGTACCTGGACTTTGAGCAAAGCCTTTTGCGACAAGCCGTGAATTTCGCCTTTCGATTGTTCCATCAGAATTCCTTTTTGTTCGTAGAACCCATTTCGTTTTTATGATTTCAGCATTGTTTGGTCGATCTACCAAGATCCATGTTTTATTCTTTTTTAAAGCTTGGTACTCCTGGAGCATTGCTGCTTTCCATTCTTTACTTCTAGGGCATGTTAGTACTTCATCTGCGTTGTTTGGATCGTTCTCTTCTACATCGTTTGCGATGTGTTCGCTTGCTTCTTCTTCAACTGTGTCTTCTACTGGAATGATTCTGTGCTTTCTTGGGCGCCCACGACGTCGCTTTGGAGTCGATTCCACTTCGGTAGTATCATTGCTTGGTGTGTCGCTCGCCGTACCCTGGGCCTCTGGAACATCTTGTGATTTTGTTTGTGGATCTTCCCCTTTTTGATCTAACAAAAGTTTGACCAGTATTTCATGATTTGAATTTTTCGTAATGTTTTCTTCAACAAAGTCTTCATACTCGTTAACGTTTTGGAAGTTATCAAGGAATTTTACATCTCGGCTTTTGTAGATTTTTCCTTCTTTTGGGCACCAAAGTCTGTAGCCCTTTGATTGTGGCTCGTACCCTATGAATATGCATTTTCTGCTTTTCGATTGAAATTTACCTTTTCCTGGCGTTTTGTTCAACATGTATGCAACGGTGCCGAAAACTTATAGATACTTGAGTATCGGTTTCTTCTGGGTCCACTGGTAATACGGAATTTCGCCGTCCAAACTCCTTGATGGGCATCGATTCCTCACATAATTTGCTGTCAATATTGCTTCAGCCCAAAAACTTGGAGCTAACCCACCCTGAAGCATCATGCAGCGTGCCATCTCGACCAACGTTCGGTTTTTCCGTTCCGCTATTCCGTTTTGCTGGGGGGTATAGTCTATAGTTAGCTCATGTTTTATACCTTCGCTTTTAAGAAGTCTTGTCATCCGCAACATTGTGGAGGCGGCTGCTGTGCGCGACATCACCGAGGCAAGCATCTGGGACTCGTACGTGCTCCCCAAACTCTACGCCAAATTGCATTACTGCGTGTCGTGCGCAATTCACTCCAAGGTGGTGCGCAAACGTTCCCGTGAGGCACGTCGCATCCGTACGCTGCCACTCCGCTCCTTCCCCAAGGACATGGCCCGCAACAACCAGAATGCTTATGGCGGCGGCTACACACCAACAACAGCAGCAGCAGCGGAAGCAGCAGCAAATAATCAACTAGAATCCATCAACTTAAAACTAGAAAAAGTTTTCGATATGGCACTGGTCTAACCGGCTAAAAGAGGAGTGGCGCAGTGGAATCGTGCTGGGCCCATAACCTGTTGTTAATAAATACGCAGCTCGTTGTTAGGTTTAAAGTAATACTACATGTTTATTGTGGATATTTGTAATGCGCTTGTCGGCGGCTCGAAGACAACTACTTGAGTCCGTGAGATGATAATATAGGGATGAGTAAGAACTATCGATACATTTCAACAATAACATCCTTTATTTGTATACTAGCTGACCCGGCAAACTTCGTACCGCCTAACAGTCAATGAATGTCGTGTTACTTTTTAGTTGAACTAATTTAGGCTTTATTTTCATTCAAGCACTTTGTGGTAAACGGCATTCTTTATTTTTTGGTCAGGCGCAAGAACAAATAAAACGGATGGTTTGCCGACACGTGAGCATGCCACTTACAATTGAGCATGAGAAAAACATGCATTTTCTAGATTGAGGCCACAAATAGTAAAGGATTGGCCCTGTGATTTATTGATCGTCATGGCGAAGGCAAGACGAATCGGGAATTGAATTCGTTTAAACTCAAAGGGCATATCCGTTGGGATCATCGGAATCCTTGGAATAAGAACTTCCTCATCTTTAAATTTTCCCTTAAGTATCGACGCGTTAATCACATTGCTCATCAGTTTTCTTATCACCAAACGCGTTCCATTACACAGTTTTGGTTGGTTTAAATTTCTAAGCATGATGACTACCGAGCCAACTTTAAGTTTTAAATTGTGCGGTGGTAAACCAGGCACATCCAAGGAGTTTGAAAATTCAGTTGGATAATTAGTGGCTTCTTCTTCGTTTGTTACACAGTCGATAGATTTGAATGAATACAGAGTACCTACGATTTGATTTTGAATTATAAAATTGAGGTCATCTACATCTTTATTTTTAGCGGCCCCGCTCACTTAACAATTTAGTATTTTTGTGGTTAGCAATTATATCCGGGAATACTTTGTTGATAAGCTCGTCTTTTGATGATACGAAATTGCAAAAATTTGGAGGAAATGAAATCAAACCGCTCGATTTGTCAACAGGAACACGGCCATTACCGATAGTCAGCAATTGCTTCGAGAAATCATCAGCAGATAGATCGTTCAACAATGCAACTCTCATATTTACAGACAGTTGAAGTTTCTTTACATATCGCCACAGATTTGATGCTTTGAGGCAAGCGTTTATTTCGTCGGCAGCTGTAGATCTTGGAATGACTGGTAGTGTTTGTCGGAAATCGCCAGATAACAAAATCATTGCACCACCAAAACATCTCGAGTCATTGCGCAGATCTTTTAATGTTCGGTCTAGTGCTTCCAATGCGCGTTTGTGCGCCATTGTGCATTCGTCCCATATGATGATTTTTGATGCTACTAAAACTTTGGCCATTGCGGAGTGTTTCGAAATGTTACATGTCGGTTGTTCAGTAGTTTGAAGGTTTAATGGCAATTTTAACGCTGAGTGAGCCGTACGGCATCCGTCTAACAATGTGGCCGCTATTCCAGAAGAAGCAATTGCAACCGCAATTTCGGATCTCGCACGTACAATGGCCAAAATCAATGACATGAGTAATGTCTTCCCAGTTCCACCGGGGGCATCCAAAAAAAATAAGCCCCCATTTCCATCATCAATTGCATTAATCAGTGTATCATAGACTTCCCTCTGCTTAGGATTCTACAGAGGTACATTCGTTTGAACTAATTGGATTAGTTCATGTGGATCATATTCACGTTCACGTCATACAGAAACGCTGCTCGATTCAAATCAATACTTGAACCATTTCTTCTTGCACTGCGAAGATTGTTCCTCTGTTCATCTGTACGATAAGCTCGACGATTTCTCCTTTCTAACCTAGCCGTTTCAAGGGCTGCCTCTCTTTGCTCTTGTCTTTGAGAAGCACGAATTAAGGCCCTTCTTTGCTCCATACTAACACGTCGCTGTTCTCGTGCAATTTCTCGTTCTCCATCATATAATTGACTCACGATATTCCGTTGCCTAATTGCATTACGGCTTCGCTGAGAAAGATTATATCTTCTGGGACGCGGCATTGTTATTAAAATGTGCACTCGCATAAAACCACCAAACTGATTTTTTATTCCCTAAATTCCGTTCCTTTCCGATGATTTTATGTAGAATACTGTAGAATAAATCTATTTGACAGGATTGGACAACAAATGTTTGACATGGAGAAAGAAAATCAATGAAAACTCGATATTTGTAATAAAAAAATCAAAATCTATTGAAATGCATCTATTCATTGCGCATATCGAGTTTTTTTTTTTGTATTCTGCTATTCGGGACGGAAACAAATCCAACAAATCAAAAACCATGGCAATCGTTCTCGAGTTATAAGTGTTGTAACAGACACGACTTTCTTTTATATATAGAAATATTGTATTTATTTCCTAACCCCAACCACTCTGCCTATTCCTCATTTATTTTGCGGCAGGTCAGCTCAGATCACTACATCAGCCCTTCAAAACAAAACGAAAAACCGAAATTCAGTTCAAGCGGAAAAAAATTGTAGAGCCCACACACAAGCATTGTATGTGTGATACTACTGTATGGTTACCCTGCAATACGGGTAAGCGATGTGTAAGCAACCACACATCGATGGCAACGTCATGCAGCTCGATGACATAAGCGATGACCTGCCATACGATGGGCTGTTTACTTTAACACAGGGATGTCCTAGGAGCATAATCGATGACATAGTAAGCGAGAATTAGCCGAAAGTCAGGCCTTAATAAGCGATGAATTTCCCTTAAAAAGTAAGGCCTTAATAAGCGATGAATTTCCCTTGAAAAGTAAGGCCCTAATAAGTGAAGTATTTAAGTACAAAATTTTGATATTTTGAGGAAAAAGACATGGGTAAATTCCTTTTTAAAATATTAAATTTCTTTTATTTATTGTTTTCCGATGATCCTATTGGGCTTTGAGGTGGCTCAGAGGGGGCCTAGCTGAGGCCACCGGACGGGTCGCAGGTTGCGGATAGCGAAGGGCCTACCCTAGTAGGGAGGTAATAAGCGGGCATCCCAAAGAGAATCAACTAAGTTGGCTCTGAGGGAGAGTACCGGAAATAAGCAGTCCCGGACAGCCAGCGTGTTCGCGACGCAGCAACACTGACGATGCGCTTGTGGTGCCGCCTCTCATTAAGTAGCTCACACACTCCCATCCCTACACATTACCTACCCACATCCCATCCCCAACACTCACCTCACACCGGGCCGGACTAAGGTGTCACTCGACCCGTGCCAAGAGTCAGCCTGGCTGATGGCCCGGTACAAAACTAGCCCAGTCGTGAACGGAGAGCTCAGGGACTTGGCAGCCCCCTGTTCTAATTATGCCTTACCCGGGTAAAGTAGAGCTCTGCCGGGGTGGACCGTTCCCCTTCTCTGCAGCTCGTGGGAACTACATGGATAAAAACGATAATATAAATAAAAACAAAAACAAAAATGAGAGAGGCACTCCCCAAATGCCGGCTGGGAGCAATCCCAATCGGGAGAAGGCAGCGGCCCAAAGGCCTGGCCCGATCCGCTCAGATGCAGGAAAGACCTGCACGGTGAAAGACGCGGGTATGAACCCAAGTGGGTCCCATCCCAAATCTGGGATGGGTGGAAAATCAACACCCAAAACTGATACCATGGAACGGCAGCTAAGCAATATTGCGGCTGCCCAACCTTCCGGTGAAGCTGCGGGTGATGGCTTGCCATCAACCAGTGTCCAAGCCAAAAAATTTAGCTATGCCGAAAAGAGGAGTGCTGGGCACATACTCCGTCGGCAGAACGCCAGTAAAGAAGCTAGTCCAACAGCAGACTGGCTGAAAAAGGTGGAATGGGCCTCGGCGGTGCTGCCCAACTTCAGTGTGGAGCCACAGAAGGTGGCTGCACAACCGAAAAGGCAGCGCTCGCAAGAGACGCCCGGACCTGCCACGAAGCGCTCCAGAGTGCTTCCCAGCGTATCCTTCGCGCAGATTGCCAAGGAGAGGACGCTGGTAGGCGTTCTCGACAACGGCAGCGCGGAGGGAAAAATACCTAGAAGCCAATGGAAGTGGGTGGAAGCGGCACTGGCCGACCGCTGCTTCGAGCTTCTTGAGAAGGATCCCGGGCCACCCCCAGTCTGCAAAGACATGGGATGGTTCCAGGGAAGCATCAAAGTGGTAGCCTGCGAAGATGAACGCGCCGTGAAGCTATACAAAGCTGCGGTGGCGCAAATCGGAGAAGTCTACGCTGGGGCGAAGCTCGTCGCTGTGGACTGGAGCGAGGTGCCCAGTAGACCAAGGGCTCGCATATGGGTGCCGGCCACTTTTAAGGAGCCCGAGCGGATCCTCAGGATGTTGCAGAGATGCAACCCAACATTGCCAACCACAGACTGGAAAGTGGTCAAAGTGGAGGCATCGAAAGGCCCCACTAACCAGGCAGTGATAATCCTGAATAAGGAGTCACTAGCCCCGATCGAGGCAGCCAAGGGAGAGCTCCGCTTCGGGTTCAGCTCGGTGACCATGAAGGTCTACAAGTCGGTTGCAGCGGCCGAGGCGCGCCCTGTCAACAACCCAGTTGAGCGGGACGTTGCCTCGGAGATCGAGGCACCCGACGTAGACCAGGAGCCGGCCCTGGAGAGCTACTCCTCGGAGACGGAGCTGATGCTCGATTTTGAGGCGTTGTGTCGTGACGAGATTCTCGACGACTCTGACGCCGACATAACAGTGGTGGAGAGTAACTCTAATGAAGTCTCTGAGGCTTCTGCAGATAAATCTCCACCACTGTAAAGCAGCATCCGCTGCCCTAATACTCCGCTTAGTCGCGAGCGGAGGGGACATAGTCCTAATCAAAGAGCCTTGGGTGGTAGGAGGCAAGGTCTGTGGATTAGCGACGAAGGACTACAAGCTGATTGTAGCCCAAACTGAA